GCTCTATTTTCGCTGAAAACGCTAAATCATAGAGATAAGACTAAGTATTTGTGACACTCATATCTTGCTGTGTGTTTATCCGTTTGGAGTGTATTATATCTCGTTGGAAAGATAGATCGGAGCTCTAAAGCTATTGTTCCAACTTCATTTACAATGCATTAATTAAAAGTTACAGATTAACCATATATTCACAAATGTTTCTGATTTCACTCCGAACTCGTGTAGAATTTGATGCGATCATATATTGCTCTATTTTGTTCCGTAGAAAGCGTTTAATATCTCTTTGGAATGATCTTACCGAGTTCTAAAAGTTGTCTACAGGCGCTGGTTTCAAAACATCAAGGGATGATTGCCTAATTACTAAAATACACTGTATTTATGCTAAAAGTGCCCTATTTTCGTTGAAAACGCTAAATCATAGAGATAAAGCTAAGTATTTGTGACACTCATATCTTGCTTTGTGTTTATCCGTTTGAAGCGTATTATATCTCGTTGGATAGATAGATCGGAGCTCTAAAGCTATTGTGCCAAATTAATTTACAATGCATTAATTAAAAGTTACAGATTAACCATATATTCACAAATGTTTCTGATTTCATTCCGAACTCGTGTAGAATTTGATGCGATCATATCTTGCTCTATTTTGTGCCGTTGAAAGCGTTTAATATCTCATTGGAAAGATCTTACCGAGTTCTAAAACTTGTCTACAGGCGCTGGTTTCAAAACATCAAGGGATGATTGCCTAATTACTAAAATACACTGTATTTATGCTAAAAGTGCCCTATTTTCGTTGAAAACGCTAAATCATAGAGATAAAGCTAAGTATTTGTGACACTCATATCTTGCTGTGTTTTTATCCGTTTGGAGCGTATTATATCTCGTTGGAAAGATAGATCGGAGCTCTAAAGCTACTGTTCCAACTTCATTTACAATGCATTAATTAAAAGTTACAGTTTAACCATATATTCACAAATGTTTCTGATTTCACTCCGAACTCGTGTAGAATGTGATGCGATCATATCATGCTCTATTTTGTGCCGTTGAAAGCGTTTAATACCTGTTTGGAAAGATCTTACCGAGTTCTAAAAATTTTCTTCAGGCTCTGGTTTCAGAATATCAAGGGATGATTACCTAATTACTAAAATACACTGTATTTACGCTAAAAGTGCTCTATTTTCGCTGAAAACGCTAAATCATAGAGATAAGGCTATGTATTTGTGACACTCATATCTTGCTGTGTGTTTATCCCTTTGGAACGTATTATATCGCGTTGTAAAGATAGTTCGGAGCTGTAAAGCTATTGTTCCAACTTCATTTACAATGCATTAGTTAAAAGTTACAGATTAACCATATATTCACAAATGTTTCTGATTTCACTCCGAACTCGTGTAGAATTTGATGCGATCATATCTTGCTCTATTTTGTCCCGTTGAAAGCGTTTAATATCTCGATGGAAAGATCTTACCGAGTTCTAAAACTTGTCTTCAGGCGCTGGTTTCAAAATATAAAGGGATCATTTCCTAATTATTAAAATACACTGTATTTTCGCTAAAAGTGCTCTATTTTATCTGAAAACGCTAAATCGTAGAGATAAGGATAAGTATTTGTGACACTCATATCCTGCTGTGTGTTTATCCGTTTGGGGCGTATTATATCTCGTTGGAAAGATAGATCAGAGATATAAAGCTATTGTTCCAACTTCATTTACAATGCATTAATTAAAAGTTACAGCTTAACCATATATTCACAAATGTTTCTGATTTCACTCCGAACTCGTGTAGAATTTGATGCGATCATATCTTGCTCTATTTTGTGCCGTTGAAAGCGTTTAATATCTCGTTAGAAATATCTTACTGAGTTCTATTTTTTTGGATAAACTGTAAATATATATATCCAAAGTGTTTATGTACAGCTGTACAGTAGCAAAACAAATTATATGGGTCATCCCAAGAAAGGATACCTAAGCCCAAACAGCCTCAAACTTCTAGCTTCTAGGTACATATAAATGCTAGCTATCACAAAAAGGTGACAAAACAGGAAAAAGGATCGTCAAAATCAGAATGTAATTCTGTCTAATGGGTACATATAATAGAGAATTTTATACACCATAAATTTGATTCGCTTGACCATATCAATGACCATGGTAGTGGTCCCTTCAAAGCAAATCATGTTCCTCACACGCCATATCCAATAGATAGTATAGCAAAAAGATAGTCTAACGGCTTTGGCTTTGACATGCGCTCCATTATGCTCCTTCTTCATCCATTTGACTGCACTCAGAAGTATTGTCATTTGCCTAAACAGCCCAATCCAATCTCGTACCAAGCTCCACACCTGTCCTGTAAATGAACACTCAAAAAATAGGTGTGATACCGTCTCCGGACCACCCTTACAAAAATGGCATGTGTTAACAATATCTAAGTACCCCAAGTTATCATACGTGGCTAGTCTTCCCCTGAATGCTAACCAAGTAATGAAAGAAAACTTGGGAGGAATATAGCTTTTCCGAATAAAAGGCATCCACGGCTCAGCATTATTCTTGATTCTAAGTAATTCATAGACTTTATAAGAAGAAAGTTTCCCAACTTAGGAACATTTATCTAAGTAGGAAATGGCCACCTCTTTTGAAGGGAATTTAGACACAATTTGATCTCTTATGGTCATCATGGACTTCATAAGCCGAGAGTCCTTTGTGTGTGGATCAAAAGTCCACACATCTCTCCCATGAAGGTACACCTTATGAACCCATTTGACCCATAAGAAGTCTTGCTTGGAGTGGATGTTCCAAAGAATTCGAGAAAGTAGGGCATAGTTCCACACTTTAGTATCCCTAATGCCCAAACCCCCCTCCTCCATTGGGAGGCATACATCACTCCAAGCCACTTTAGCATGTTTCCCCCCCCCCCCCCAAAGAAAATTCCTACACAAGGTAGTGATCCTATCCAAAACTGTCTTTGGCATAGGAAAAATTCCTAGCCAAAAAGAATGGACACCTTGGATAACAGATTTAATCAATTCAACTTTACCTGCATAAGATATAGTTTTAGAATTCCAAGCAAACAGATAATCAGTAACCTTATCAATCAGGGGCGCAAACTCGGCCACATAAATACTCAAAGGAGCAAGTGGGATACCCAAGTATCTAACAGGAAAGGACCCTTGTTGAAATCCCACTCTTTGCAAGATATAAGGCACCCTACTCTCAATGTTACCACCCAAAAAAATGTTAGATTTGTCTTGATTAACAATAAGACCCGAAACCTTCCCATAGTCAGTCCATGCATCCACTAAAATCTTAATAGAGGAGTAATTTCCTTTAGAAAAAAGCATCAAGTCATCTGCAAAAGCTAAATGTGTGATTTTGAGCTTAGAACATAAAGGATGATAACGGAAACTAGGATCTAAAGTCCTAGCTTCTATCATCCTCGAAAAGTATTCTAAGCAAATGACAAATAACAAAGGAGACATTGGGTCTCCTTGTCTAAGGCCTCTTTTCCCCTCAAACCATCCATGGAGAGATCCATTGATAGAAATGGAGAATGACGATGTGGAGACACACTCCATGATCCATCTAACAAACAAATCAGGAATGCCTATGTCTAATAGAACCTTGTTCAAAAAATCCCAAGACACAGTATCATAGGCCTTCCTAATATCAACCTTAATCATGCAACGAGGGGAGGGCCTTTTCCTAGTATCACTACTAGAAAACTGGCTTACAGTGACACTTTTTTAATGACACTATTTCTAATAGTGTCACAAAAGTACGACATATGAGGTTTCTAACAAATATGTGTCATTATTTGATGACACAATTGTGTCATTGAAATAAGTGACGTTAAATGAAAAACTCATACCCAATTTTCCATCCTCATTTTGAAAATTTCGCCGAAATCATCAATTCTTAGAAAATTTCATTTCCCTCCATGACTCCATTCATTTGTTCAGAATTCAGATAACCCTTTCCCCTGAAATCTCATACAATGCTCCTTCGTTCATCATATCCTCTCCTTTCTCCTATTTCCCGCCTATCATACGCCCAAAATCCTACCCCTTCCAATTTCCAATGGCTCCCACCAACCCCGAACCCTGACGATCTGACCTCCTTGGCCTCGCTACCGTGTCGTATCACGAATTTGATGAAGGTGATGCCGCCATGCTGCTCCTGAAGACCTCCACGAAGACGCCGCCACTGTGTTTGCTTGGACGACTTCGAAGAAGACGTGCTGCTCTCCATTAACGCTTAGGCACGTCTTGCTGAAAACGAATCGCAGATAGCACCACAGCTGTGTAGGATTGTTTTTCACTGAGTTGCAAATTCTGGAATATGAGAGGAACAAAGCTGTTCGCCGCATCCGAGTCGAGCTTTTTAACCAGCAATATAGTCAGTTCGATTTTCTGCATCTCTTCCGCGCTTCGAATTGATGTCTAACTTTTGCCTTTTCAATTGTGTTACCATATGCGTTTGATGTTTTTTGGTTGAGATTTATGAATGGATGGAGAGGGAGACAGATGCTGGATGGAAGGTTTCTAGCTTATATATAATGTGATTTTCTGAAATTATAATGCGACAGTATTCATAAAAATCTAAATACGGTAAATAACTTGCAAAGGTAGGGTTATTGTCTTTAGCTTGGACTCAGATTCAGACCATAGTTTCATTGTATTTTGCGAATTTGTGCAATTCTTAATGAAGTTCCTATATGTACTCTTGTATTCCTTTGCATCTGTGATTAATTTTACGTAAAAATGAGTTCCCAATGAGCCTGTAGTTTTCTTATAAGAGTTATGCATAGCAAAACTAAATCCATGATTTTAGCCATGGCTGTAATGGTTTCATCTCCTGAAATGCGTTTTTAATCTTAAAGAGTTAAAGTTGTAATTTTTCTTTATAAAAGACTGTAGCTATTTATGATATCTATTTGTGGATGTCAGATGTGGCTTTGTTAGTAGATTGCTTTTCCCTTTTTTATTTTCGTAGCTATCAAATTCATGTGCAGAACCAAAACAAAAGACTTTTGGGTGGGTCACTTTTTTATTCTCAAAGGGCAGAGCCACCCCAGCAGCTGTCAGGTTCTACTCCACAGTTGGACATGTACCGGGCTGATTCATCTAGGCTACATGTTAGGGCTCTCAATACTCAGTTTGCAAGGTATAAAATTGAGAGTTGGACTTGAGGTACACACTTTTTTGTGTACACACTTTTTACACATGTCTGTGTAAGGTTTGTTTTATGTCTGTACAGACATAACGTATTTTTAAAAAGTGTGTCTGTATAGACATATAAAAACCTTACACAGACATGTGTAAAAAGTGTGTACACAAAAAGTGTGTACCTTTAGATTTTTTCTAAAATTGATCATTCAATTCCAAAAGCCTTTTCTGGTGAAGCACTGATATAACTTATAACACTGAGTTCACCTCTTAATTTTAGTACATAAAGTTCTAATTAATCATTTGAGTGAAAGAATCATGCCTTTATCTTCACTTTAGTCCTTCATCTAGTTGCAAATTAATCCTCCCTAAGTAGCTAGCTATATATGTCCCTACAATATAGTATTCTAGTTTTTTTTCATTTCTACAACGTCAACAACTTAGAAATTTGTTTTGTTTTTTCTCATTTGGAACTGTTATAAAATAAATAGTTAAACACTGTATAAATAGATATGCCTGGTGTTTTATCTTCTGTTTCTTTATTAGCACATTCTTAATGTATGAGGCAATAAGCTTTTTCCTTTCTCTACTTAGCATTTTGTTGTTCTAAGCAGCTGGGTGAAAAAACAATTACAGAACCACCCCGATGAGTTCTGGGAAGATGGCGCCCAAGACTATTTAACCCATGCTTCATCCATCATGGTACATTTTTGGTACACTGTAAATCTTTCATAGATATGTTAGTATACGCTTTAGTGATTTCACTTTTTGGAATTATGAGTTCCGTGTTTTTGGTGCATAGGATTTTTTGGGTAGGGGTAGTTGTCTATGCCCGAAAGTCTACTACTACTTTACTTTTATGTAATTTTAGATGTGTTCAATGTTAGAACCCTCTCATGGTAATAAACAATTTTGTGCTTTAAATTAGATAACATGAAGGTGCGTTACTATAATTCCAAAGATATATGCTTCAAGGTAATGTAGTTTCTGGGATTTTGTATGCTAATATAGTGTATTGCAGGAGAAATTCAATGATGTTATATATTGGCTTAATACAAATGAGGCCAAAGCAGAAACTATGACCTTTCTTGGATTTCAGTCAGCTTCTAAGACACAGGCTTCTGAAGATAAAGAAAACAAGAGTACATCCCTACTTGGATTCCATAGAGCTCCAAATCTAGTTGCTTCAGAAAATTATGAAGCAAACAACACTACATCAATTCTTGGTAAACGACCTCATGTTCCTGAAGCTAATGCATCTTTGCGTTTTGGCACTTCTTGGAAATCTGAAGCAATTTTTAACAAAAAAACTGTGTAAAGAAAAAGAAAGAAGAGAAAATAAATGGAGAATAATATAGTTTTAATTCGCTTCACTTCACTACCCATACAATGACAAGTTGTATACGGTTCCAGTGTTTTGTATTTCCTTGAAATTCAGATAAAATGATAAGTTCTAGTTACTTTGTTTTCACTTTTCAGAGGCGGTGAGCAAGGGTTGTTTTTAACATAGTTGTTGAGCATGGGTTTGGGCTGAATTTATATCTTAAGATTGATGGCAAAGCATTAATTTCACTAGAAAACAAGGATTCTTTGGAAGAGATAGAGCCACTTTTCTTTAAAGTTCCTGATCATGTTGATTTATCACTTGTTGATTTTGTTTGCTTGTAGAGAATATGGAATACATGAGATAGATAACAATTTCTTTTTCATCACGGAATAGCCACAGGCGGCGTTTATAATCTCAGAAAATTTGATATAGATATTTTTTTTGGATTGCAGGTGATAGCAGCAAGGCTATTGGAATCAAAGCATTCCACACCGCATTTATATTTATCCACAGGTTTCACATTTAATTGAACTGTGCAAGTTTACTAAAAGTTCTTAACTTTGTATAACAAATGCATGATGGAAAATAATAACAAAACCAAATAAAAGCATTTGATCCCTGAAGTTTTCTAAATCATCATTTTGTTTCTACCAGATGTTATATTGAATCCTCTTATTTTCTTCAGAACGGAGCTTAAAGGTATATATGCTGGCTACTTAAACAGATCAATATGATACAAGTGTTCTAAAAACTGCTATGCAGCCCCTAGGCAGTAGACTATGGTCAAGTGGGAGATCGTCTCTTTCATGTTTGTTTTAAATTGATCAAATAATAAGGGCTGTAAACAAGCTCAAAAACCCTCTGTTTTGAACAGTCTCAAAGGCAGAATGATAAGACTTTGAATGGCAAATTAAGGGTAAGGAGTACAAATTACCCTATTAAGGGTAAGCCTTGTGCTAGAAGGTATTTCTTATATAAAAAACATCTACATGCATGAAAATGAGTTTATGTAGTTTTTCCTAAAGATGTTGTCATTTTTGCAATCTATTTTCAGCATGCTATGAGAATTATTAATAGCAAGGGGCCCTTATTGCTCCATGGACGGTTGAAAAATCTTAAAGGAGCAGTCTTAAAGAGGGTAAGGGATTCCCTTGATTTGATATTTTCTTAATATTTTTTCGTTAATGCTCTTTTAAGATAACATATACATGGACTACATTTTTTCATGTTACAGCTATTAAATCTCAAGAGTTATGGTCAATTTAGACTAGACAATTTTACTTGATGTGACTAACACGAGTAAAGAAGCAATAAGCTGGACTCTACCTTCTTTAATTGAAAATAAAATAGCTGTGATGATAAGTTTTGTAAAAGCAATGTTAAGTTTTTATTTTGGTGTTGCTTTAGTTCTCCATGATCAATGAGTACTATGAAGATGATATTCTGCAAATATGTGAGGAATGAGTCTCATATGCAGCAAACCTACTCAATGAGTAAGCTGAAATTTTATTTATTGAGATAAGTGTGTTAAGAATGTAGTTTTCACTAATTAGGATTATCTGTAGTATGATGATTGAAATGGTTATCATTATTATTTTTACAGACTTCAGTGACGAATGTGATGAACGGTGCTAGCTGGATTTTTGCTAAGCTCGTATGCATTATGGCGGTTAAACAAATGGCTGGAAGGACATAAGATTTTGATGTTTGTGATGTACTTTATGTGTTTCCAGAACATATGTAATGACTACTTTATGTTTGCAGCCCTATGTAGCTAGACTAGAATTCAAGAATATTGGTATTTTGGATTTTGCTTTGTTTCCAAGAACAAGTTAACTTGTCTTTGAAAATTTTCATGTTGACTTTGATTTGGATCTAAATGACAATTAGTAAGTTATGGGATACTTTGATTATGAATTTGTTTTTTATTTGTCTACAAGCTTGAAAATTAAACTTTTAGGTGGATATGGAGGTGCAAAAAAAGTAATAAATTCTTCAATAGTTGATACTATAGTATCATAAATCTGAATGGCGCAAGAGTATCAGAGGTTTTTGTAACATTAGTGAAATCACTAATTTATATGATATCAAAGTGTCTTTAAGTATACCAATGCAAATGTATCACTATATTTTATGATACTAACGTGTCACAATTTAGTGACACTTTTTAGTGACACATTTTTTAGTGTCAGAGTTCCAACCATTCGTTGACACTTTCTAGTGTATAACCCCTCACTAACTCTTGCGCCAGAAATATGTTGTCAGACATCAGTCTACCATCAACAAAAGCTCCTTGTGAAGGATTTATGATACTAGAAAGAAGGGGCCCAAGTCTGCCGGACAGAATCTTAGTAATGATTTTGTATGTCACATTGGTACAAGATATAGGCCTAAAATCCGAAACAGTGGGGGAATGGTTTGTCTTTGGGATAAGTGCCACCACAGTGTGGTTAACCTGTTTAAGCATGGTCCCAGTTTCAAAAAATTCCCTCACAGCATTACAAACATCATCACCAACCCTATTCCAATTTTTCTTGAAAAAAGCTGATGAGAACCCATCTGGGCCTGGGGCTTTGTCATCTCCAATATCAAACAAGGCTTGTTTGATTTCCAAATCAGTCACAGGACTGGTAAGGTCACCAACAAGTGTTTGATCTAGTATTTTCCCGGACTGAAGAACCCCAGGGTCATAACCTTCCATAGGCACCCAAGTCCCAAAAAGATTTTTGAAGAAAGCTATGAACGCATTTGCCACCTGATCCACGGATGTAGTAAGACTTCCATCTTCTAATCTAATGGAGGCAATAGAGTTTTGGGAATTCTTCTTTTTTACAATAGAATGAAAGTATTTCGTACACTTATCAGATTGTAAGATGTGGACAGCCTTTGCCTTTTGTTTTAAATAGGCTTCCTCGGCTTCTTTCAAAAAAAGTGCTCTTTTTTTTTGCATTATCCATCTCTTCTTTTAGGGCATCATCCGAAGGAGACAAGAGGGGTAATTGATAGATTCTCTTGTATTCCTTTTTGGATTCCTTTGCCCTAGCCGAAATACAACTAAATTCCTCCCTATTGAGTTGTTTGAGGGGTTGTTTAAGAAGCTTCAACTTACGGGCAAGCCTAAACTGGGCAGTTCCAACAACATTCCTATCCCAAACTCTCTCCAAAATATCTTGAAAATGGTCATGCTTTAGCCACATATTAAAGAACTTGAAAGGTTTTGACCCTTCATTAGTCACGGCCCCAATGTTTACAAGAGAAGAAACATGATCAAACTCACACTCCATTTCAAGGAAGTGGGCCTTACATGTCACATTTTGCATATTCCAAAAAGAATTAATAAGGACTCTATCCAATTTTGCCCAAATTGCACCCCTATGCCAAGTAAAAAATTCACCGGTTGAGGGAGCATCCATTAGACTAGAAATCATGTTCATATCATTCAAGTCTTTCATTGCATAAGCCAAAGGAGGGGCAGACCCCCTCCTCTCGTCTGGTGACCCAACACAATTAAAATCCCCCACCACAATCCACGGAGCAAGGACTATAGAGCTAAGGGCAGAAATGTGCTTCCACAATTCCCTTCTTTGTATGATTGTATACAATGCATATATGAAAGTAGCATAAAATTGTAATTGCGTGACCCTACATGTGAATTTCATATGAATATGTTGCTTATCAACTTGTAAAACAGCCCCCTCCACAAAATTAGGATCCCAAATGATGGCAATACGCCCCCCACTCATGCTATCAAAATTAGTAATAGACGACCAAGAATTAAATCTAAAGTTCAAGAAGCTATCAAAAGAGGTAGTAGACATTTTAGTTTCTAATAAGCAAAAGATGCGTACCTTATTTATTTTTGCAAAGTTAGCTATAGAGTTTTGTTTTGAGGCTTGGTTAAGCCCTCTAATATTCCAAGATGCTAAAAACATAAAAAATTTATTTGTTGGCCGAGGCTCCCCTCCTTCGGTTTATCCTCACTTTCTCCCTTTCATTCTTCTTCCATTGGAGATATTCTTCACATCCATTGTACCTATCAAGAAAAAGTTGATAAATGGTTGTCATAAAGAAGGGAGAGAACTCATACCCATCCTCTACTTTCTTGACTCCGGGAAGATTTTGGAGGCAAGAGGTAGTGAAGATGATTCCTCTTCTTGTGTTGTTCCAATCTATAGAGAGATAATTGTCAAGCCTTGTCATTTGTTCCTTGACATCCTCGGCATGCATGAGATAAATGCTAACTTTTCCCTCCTTGTCATATTCAATCTTGGTTATGACATCATCCATGTATGCCTCTCGGATATCATGTACAACCCGGTCTCTCTTGCCCTCTGAACTTCCTCAAATCCTTGACCTTGTTTCCATTCCCCATTAGATGCCCATCCTCATAATACCTATCAAGATAGTGTCTATATACACACGTCATGAAGATATCCTCAAAAGCATAGCCCTTTTTCCTCTTTACAACTCCGGGAAGCCTTTCAAAGCACTCTTTGGTGAACCAAACCCCCGGTTCATTGTCTTTGACCTCCCTTAAAAGATGATCTATTCGGACCATAGGTTCTTCTACCTCATCTATGTGTTTGACTACATATTTGGGTTCCTTTGCCTCCTCCGTCTCCATTTGAGTGATCACCTCATCATTGAAAATGTTATCAAAACCTTTGATAACTCTCGGTTCCACCTCTTCCTCCTCCTCACTTGATTGATTTTCATCCCCGGTGGCCTCCTTTTCCTTGGCTTTTGCTTGCTTAATACTCTTATTCCTTTGGTCCACTTTGTTCAACCTTTTTTGCTTAAGGAAAGGGTGA